ATTCTTCAACATGTATATATGTAAAACATATATATATGTATATACACCCTACATTTAGGGGCTGGCAAGGTAGCTCAGTGGTCTAAAGCACCTGAGACCAAGGCAGGAGCTATCTCACTGGCTTCATCAACAAAGAAAAATTTCTGCAAGAAAAATGAAGTTCACAAAGTGGCCATTTCAAATTTTGAGAAAATGGCCTTTTTCTTGGTTCTGCTGACCTCAACAAGCCTGCCTTGCCCAAGGCTGGAAGGCTTCTCTCTACGTCCTCCACTAGGGCTTAATTAATATGAACACCCCATGTTTCTTCAGGCCTTCACGTTTCTTTTTTTCTTAAAACAATTATGAGATAATTATTTTTAAATACTCATCAAAAAATGTGATGAAGCAGTTAACTCTTTAGGTAAAGCACTCCATTAGCTACCAATGAAAGGTGATTTCAATGCCCCAGCAAAAGTGGACTCCAGCTACTCTCGTCTCTCTCTCTTTTTTTTTTTTTGCAGAACCAGGGATTGAACTCAGGCCCTGGCGCTTGCCAGGGAAGCATTTATTCTACTGAGCCATCTGCCTGGCCCCTCTTCTGAAAACTTTCACTGAGCCTCACATTAAACAACTGCACTCCACTACTCTCAGTAACCTGAGAAGATAAAAAACATAAAAATACTAAATCAGTTCATTTAAAATACAGTATTATTGTAACTATAACGTATCATAATCTATAGCATCTACAACTCCAATACTATATAAGAATCCAGAGACTGAAAACAAATCAGTATTTTATCATATCAAAAGTTTGGGACACTATGTTGGGTGGTATCTCTGACTAGATCCTGGGACACTAGTGCAAAACACAAGAAATCTGAATGAAATCCACAGTGTGTAGTGTACCAATGTGAATCTGAGTTTTTACAAATGTCCTATGATATCTACCATTAACAATAGCAGAAGCTAGGTAGAAAACACATGAGAACGCTATGGGGTTTTTTTGTTCGTTTTTATGTATTTAGTACAGGATCTACAGGGTCTCACTACACAGATGGGACTTGTAGTGATCCTCCTGTTTTCCAGCTTCCCAAGCACTAGGGTTATAGGCATACACAGCCACACCCAGTCTCAACTGCTATCTCAGGGTGCCCCGGGAGCAGGGCCTGCAAGGCAGGCCAGGGATCGAACCCCAGCCCCTGCGTCTAAGCAGGTACTTTAATCTGCTATCTGGCTGGTCCTTGAGAACTCTATGTTTATAACTGTTCTTCACATCTGAAATTATTCTGAAATGAAAAGCTTAAAATGTTTACTATTCAGAAATTCTCAAGCCATTTTAAAGACCCAAATAATTCTAGCAAAATCCTTCTAGATTCTGAACATCAGCATTACCAATATTTAAATATTGCAGTTAATAAAGTTAGACAGAAAACACCAGTACACTAAATAGCCTAATCTGTATTTATGCCCAGTCATTTCTTCAATAAGAATTTACCTAGTACCATTGGGCCAAGCAGTTTATATCATCTTAAGAAAAGTTGAAATGACCACAGATGTTTATTCTTTCATCTGTTGTAATGTACTGCTGTACATATTTGAGATTTATTTAACACTTTTTAAGAACACAATTTTTAAATGAAACCTCCCTTTATTATGTTAATGTCTGGAAAAGGCAACATCTTTTTATTATACTGGGTTTTCTTTATTTTTTTAGCTTTAGCTTTCAGCTCTAAATGTGTATTTCATAAAAAACTATTTTTTAAATTTATAAATTTCTTTTTTAAAAAAAATCTATACAATTTCAAACAATTTTAAATCATCTGAGCTATGACTTCCTGTCTGCTATTCACTTTGCCCACTTGCTTTCCCAGCCTTACTTCCAACCTCTGAGATGGAGAAACGCACTGCAGGAATGCCTGAGTTGGTGCAGTCTATAGTTTTAAACACTACAGCAAACGAGGAACTGATAAGGAGAGCATACAGACAGGATAAGTAGAAGCAAAAGGAGTCATTTTTCCATTAATGAAAAAATAAAATTTAACAATAAAATGACATGTATTTTCCAAAACTTGTAAAAGGGAAAAGAACAGGCAACAACTACGTGGAGTAATATACGTTACACACCAGACCCTCTCATTAATATGTCCAGCTCTTGCTCAGAGGAGCACCTTACAATGGAATCTTACTCTTTTGATCGCTAAAGTGGACAAAAGAAGATGCAGCTCAGAGTCACACCGGCTTATGTTCAAGTCCTCACTGTGGCAGGTACAGCAGCACACGGCTTTAACCCAGCATTTGGGAGACTGAGGCAGGAGGATCACGGAGGGCTAGAGGCCAGCCTGAACAACGTAAGGAGGCCCAGCCTCAAAAACCAAAAGTACTCACTGCGTTATTCACCGGTTTCATGACTTCTGAAAAATTTCCTTTATCAGCTTTAGTAGTACAACTACCTACCTTGCCATACATAAGCCATATAGACAGTGCTTAGAGTATTTTAATTATTCCTGATAAGATTAAAATAATACTTGCATTGTTTTATGGTTATGTCCATTTAAGATAGGTATACTTGGCCATTTTGTAAAACAGAGAACCCAAGGTGGGTCATGAAGGGACTGTCTAAATACTCAGAGGAAAGATGATCCAGATAAAATTACAAAAGAGCTGGGCATGATGGTGCACACCAGTAACCTCAGCACTCGGAAGACTGAGGCAGGAGGATTGCTGCAAGTTCAAGACCAGTGCAGGCTACAAATGGAGCTCAAGGACATTTGAACTGCACAGTAAGACACTGTCTCAAATAGGACCAAAAAAAGAAAAAGAGAATTTTAAAAAAGAAAGCAAAAATAGGCCTACAAAACTACAAAACCGGTATATGCTTGTTACAGTTTGTGTTCAGTTGTTCCCCCCTCAAAGCCTACTGCAGTCTTTGGGGCTTGGTTCTAGAGTTTGCGATTGGGCCGGGAGATGGCTTAGTAGAATAAGCACTTGCCTGGCAAGCTCAGGAGCCCGAGTTCAATCCCCGGTTCCACCAAAAGAAGAAAAAAGATGTGGAGTTTGCGAGTAATTCATGATCCAAGGCTGGGATTATGGGTGTGAGTGGTACACCCACGCTGGGGCACACTGCCTGAAGGCAGCACAGGGAAGGGGCCGAGGCTTGCCTCCGCCACTGTTGCTGTTACTCCCCTCCCTTGCTCTTGCTATTTTCCAGCGCCATCAACTGCTGCCCTCTGCCAGGTGCCACTCTGCCTTGGAGCCAGCTGCGTATGCGCTGAAATCTCCAAACTTCCTTAATTTTGGGTGCCAGGTATTTGGTCCCAGCAACGAGAGAAAAGTAACCAAGACAACGCTCTAGACACCTTCCCTCTCCTCTGCTAAGCTAACAAAAGTCTCTGAATAACGAAGTCATCCACAGCGTCTCTTCCTTCAACTGCACTCCTAGATTGTAACTTCAAGCTGCTTTAGTAACATACACAAATGCAAATGTTTTAAATTTAGCAGTATCACTGAAATGAACGACTTCTGGTAATCTACTTTCACCCATGTTCCAAATTTCAATATGTCCAATTTTTCGGCACGATGAATATCCCACCAGCCCCAAATAATACATAAATTAGAAAACTACCACTTACTAAATCTTCTAAACTGGAAAGTTGCTCAAATCCCTCCGGTAAGCACATGAGTTCATTATGCTGGAGATACAAGCCCTTCAGGTTTTTTAGATTTGTAATTTCTTCAGGGAGCATTTTCAGTTTATTATGGCTAATGACAATAAAATAAATGCAAATTAATTTAGTAAACAGCAAGATAAATATAATTCTGCTAATCAACTACATGGACTCATGACATAAATTAAATATGATCACTAAGTGTTTTTCAACTCATATCCCAAACATACTGATTTAGGGTAAGTCCCAAATATCTGCTCATTAAAAATAACAGTAATCTAAAATAATAAAATTACATTTTCAAAGAAAAGCAAATCAAGTATTTTAACAGTTTTTGATTGCTTACTTATAACCAACTTTGATTTTTCATGTAACATGAAAGGATTTACAAAAAAAAAAAAAAGGATTTACTAGAATCTTAATTTCTCCCGTGTCTGACTTTTACACAATTTTTTTTCTAGACAATTTTTAACAAAACTGTATTTACACATACACTACAATGGAGTTACATGGATGATGTTAGGTTTTCAATGTGCGACTAAAGACAAAAATAGTTGTCTGAGAGCTGGCATTTCACATTAAGCATAATACTCATTTCCATACTGTAGTTGGTTTACGTATTTAGTTTATAACTTTTTAGTTGAGCCCTTCTGTAAGAGTAGAAATACTCAGCTTATTGATTTAGGGTAAGTCCCAAATACCTGAGAATAACTCCCTCATAATCAAAAGATGAATGAACAATGAAGGAAGACGCTCTTCACCACTGACCACGGCAGTGTGCAGCACTTCTTCCTTAGTGCTTAACACCCAGATATTCTTAGATCAAGGTAAATTAAAGCATGAGATGTCAAGAAAGAGCTTTTCAAAAAATAAGACTCACTATACCTTCTCTCATATGCAGAAAATAATTTAAAAAAAAGCAACTGGCTTAATTCATAAATCAGAAAATGTGCAGAATTCTATAAGCAGACATAAGAATACATAATCTACTGCGTATGACAGGGCAGGTCTGTAACCCTGGTTACTCGGGAGACTGACGCAGGAGGGTAGCTTGGCCCAAGAACAGCCAGGGCCTATCTCTTAATACATACATGCAAACACTAATCTGCAAGCCAAAACTTCAAATCCTATCTTCCTTTAACTACTTTTGGAGATAATTCAAAGATCACTTAGGGCACAAGTGCTGCACAGTGAACCCAGGGTCTCACAAATGTCAACACCTTAGCCCCTCTCACATTCTGATGCTATTAAAAAATGTAATTATTAGACTTACAGGATTATAATTGCAATATTACAAATAAATTAGCTTAAGTTTTACCTGACATTGAACTTCTGAAGATTTTCTAGCTCTCTTATAGCAGAAGGAAGGGATGTGAGCTGATTATCATGTATCTAAAATTAAGACAAAGTCAATATTGTTAGTCGTATAGCGAACAATACAAAACCTTCACCAGTGTACAGAATCATCTGTCCTTCTCATTCAATGGCAGTGAATTGGGCTACTGGGAATTTGACTGCATAAAGGAGAAAAGGATTTTGCAACTAACCAAATGGATGCTCAGAAATCACAAAATAATATCAAAAAGAAAACACACACACTTTACCTCACTGAAGCGAATCCTAATTTCAAAGAGAAGAGGATTACAAACTAACAAAAGCCCCCTGATAGTATTATTTATGAGAAATGTATGAGACTACAAAAATTCTGTAAGAAAGGAAAATGGAATTTCCTTCATGTCCTCTCAGGAATTGTTTTTAAAATAGAAAGAGCCACAGAACAAGCCAGTCCACTTGTCTTACAAATAAAGAGAGTTGGGCCCGGGGAGATAGCTCAGTGGAATAAGCGCTTGCCTGGAAAGCTCAGGGTCCTGAGTTCAATCCCTGCTACCACAAAATAAATAAATAAATAAATAAATAATACAAACAGTAACAATTCCTCTAAAAAGTTCACTAATTACATCCAACTTTTATACGTTCACGAACTTCACAATTTCTGACGTCACTAGGTGAAACCCCAGCAGCTAGAGGTTCTGAAGTAGCGGCCTTGTCTCACTAGGACACAGACCCAGCCCTACACACAGGCTTCTCCCAGAAAACCACAGAAATCTAAGCTTGGTAGGTTAGTAAATCAATGAAACTGCCAGCAAGTTACAAACAGTAAAATAAAAACCATCTTAAGCATTGTGCTGGCTGCAATGTCTAGAATAATGATGACAAAGTACCAGTAAAAAAAGGACAGGGACAGAGGCAAGGAGTTGTGAAATTCTGCAGTGGGTGGAAACTCAACCCTAAGAACAATTTCATACAACAGTAGGTAGGACTATCCCTCCTGGGGGCAGGTGCCAAGACAGAAGCACAGTCGGTCACCACTCCCCGAATGGCCGGCTTTCTCATGGGAGGGTTGGAAGCAGAACCCGGGCTTCTGTGCTCTTAGTACACTGTGCCTGACATAATACTTTGGCATTAGCCTGCATTATACCAACTCAACATGAAAGGTTTTGCGCTCATCAAAGCCCAAGTTCAGCGCTGGAGTCTCTTCCGCTTCCAACCCCGAAGCAGTCAACTCACATCAAGAACAGTCAGAGCAGGCAGGAGCCGAAGGTCGTCAGAGAGCGCCTGAAGTTTATTGTTGGAGATGATGAGTTTGGTCAGGTCCGTCTGCTCCCACCACCGCTCAGCAGCGCTGAAGGACAGGTTCTGATTCGCCTCCTCGGGGACATCCACGTTGATTCTCCACACACACTGGGGCACTTTTCCATCACCACAGGCACACACACACACACACACACACACACACAGGAAGACGAAAAGAGGTAGATTGGAAATGACTTTTACAATAGCTACTCAGTTTACCCACTGACAAACAATTTCTGAAACAAACAAGAAAAACTCCAGGAAATCCTACAGCAATACACTGCCTCTACAGTGAAAGCTGATTTTATTCAAAAACAGACTACATAATACTTATTTTATTCATTAGTTCTTACTTGGAACTTCATGCAACTATACACTATACAGGTACTTGTGTTAGGATATACACTAGATAGGTACTTTCTGATGTACATATAGGATAAATAAGGAGGTTTTACTGGCCTGCAACAGAACAGAGAAGCTTCGGACGTCACATATGCAAAGTTATAACGGAGTTGTATAAACTAAGGCTCAGAGCTAATATTATTAGTAGCAGTAGTAACAACAATAGTTAATAGTACCAGTGGACAACCAGCTAATTTGCTAACTTTTAAACCACGAAACAGGGACAACAGGTAAAATGTTTTCTGTGATGAGGGAAATGTCCTAGCTTGGCAATATTCAATATGGAAGCCACGGGGCCAGCCAGATAGCAAAACGGACCAAAGCACTTGCTTAGGCAGAGTGCAGCAGGTGGGGTTTGATCCCTGGCATTCCGAGCCTGTGCTGGTCCCAGCCCTACACCAGGGGCACGCTGAGACAGCAACTGAGACTGGGTGTGGTGACGTGTGCCTGTAATCCCTGATCTTGAGAGGCTGAAAAACAGGAGGTTCAGTACAAGTC